ATCTGCACTGGAATTTCTGCTTTTCTAACAGTTAGAGGCCTGGACCACGAACCCAACAAAAGTAAAATAAGGAAGCAGGACACAGGACCTTGGCTTCCTACATTTTTGATTCCACCCCGTCTCCTCCACACATGCACTTTTAATGGGTCCAGCTGCAGCCAGGCTGCAGAAAACATTCTATGGGTGCGTGCCTCCTGTGGAGATACAGTTTGTAATACAGACACTCCGGGTCAGCTGCTCCGCTCCGCTGCACAGCTCAGCAGAGCAATAGGAGAGTAGGGACTTCAAGCTATTATCTGCAAGGGTCTACCTGCTTCCTGATGTAAGTTGCTACAGGGCTGCTTTAGCTTAAGCTCCAGCTACAGAGAACATAAGAATGGCCATACTGGGTCAGACTAAAGGTCCATCTAGCCCAGTATTCTGCCGACAGTGGTCATTAACCAGATGCCCTAGAGGGGGTGGACCGAAGACAATGATCAAGCAATTTGTCTCCTGCCATCCTTCTCCAGTCATTGACAAACAGAGGCCAGGGCACCATTATTTACTCCCTGGCTAATAGCCTTTTATGGACCTAACCTTCATGTATTTATCTAGCTCTTTTTTAAACTCTTTTATAGTCCTAGCCTTCACAGCCTCCTCTGACAAGGAGTTCCACAGGTTGACTGTGCGCTGTGTGAAGAAGAATTTCCTTTTATTTGTTTTAAGCCTGCTACCCAGCAATTTTATTTGGTGTCCTCTAGTTCTTGTATTATGGGAACAAGTAAATAACTTTTCTTTATTCACCCTCTCCATACCACTCATGATTTTATAGACCTCTATCATATCCCCCCTCAGTCTCCTCTTTTCTAAACTGAAAAGTCCCAGTCGCTTTAGCCTCTCCTCATATGGGACCCATTCCAAACCCCTAATCATTTTAGTTGCTCTTTTCTGAACCATTTCTAATGACAAAATATCTTATCCTCTCTTCCCATAGTGACCAATGCCAGATGCCCCAGATAGAGTGAACAGAACAGATAATCATCAAGTGGTCCCTCTCCTATCACCCACAGACAGAGGTTAAGGACACCATTCCTACCCATCCTGGCTAATAGACATTGATGGACCTAACCCCCATGAATTTATCTAGTTCTTTTTTTAATGCTGTTAAAGTTCTGATCTTCATGACATCCTCTGGCAAGAAGTCTCACAGGTTTGCTACCTATTATTTTAATTTGCTACCTGTTACCTATTAATTTCATTTGGTGATAGCTAATTCTTATGTTATGGGAACAAGTATATAACTTTTCCGTATTGACTTTTTCTACACCAGTCATGATTTTATAGACCTCTATCATATTCCCCCTTAATCTCCTCTTTTCTTAGTTGGAAAGTCCTAGTCTTTTTAATCTCTCTTCATATGGGACCTGTTCCAAACCCCTAATAATTTTTTTGCCTCAAGATCGTTTATGAATAAGTTGAATATAATTGGTCCGAGGACTGACCCTTGGGGGACACCAGTAGTTACCCCTCTCCATTCTGAAAATTTACCATTTATTCCTACCCTTTGTTTCCTGTCTTTTAGCCAGTTCTCAATCCAAGAAAGGACCTTCCCTCTTATCCCATGGCTATATAATTTACACAAGAGCCTTTGATGAGGGACCTTGTCAAAGGCTTTCTGAAAATCCAAGTATACTATATCTAATGGATCCCCCTTGTCCGCATGTTTGTTAACCCCTTCAAAGAACTCTAACAGATTAGTAAGACAGGATTTCCCTTTACAGAAACCATGTTGACTTTTGCCCAACAAATTATGTTCTTCTAGATGTTTGACAATTTTATTCTTTACTATTGTTTCAACTAATTTGCCCGGTACTGACATTAGACTTATCGGACTGTAATTGCCAGGGTCACCTCTAGAGCCCTTTTTAAATATTGGCGTTATGTAATCTGTCTTCCAATCGTTGGGTACAGAAGCTGATTTAAAGGATAGGTTACAAACCACAGTTAATAGTTCCGCAATTTCACATTTGAGTTCTTTCAGAACCTTTGGGTGAATGCCATCCGGTCCCGGTGATTTGTTACTGTTAAGTTTTTCTATTTGTTCCAAAACCTCCCCTAATGACACTTCAATCCGGGTCAGTTCCTCAGATTCATCACCCACAAAGGACGGTGCAGGTTTGGGAATCTCCCTAACAGCGTCAGCCATGAAGACTGAAGCAAAGAAATCATTTAGGCTCTCTGCAAAGCTTTATCATCCTTGATTGGTCCCTTCATGTCTCGATCATCCAGGGGCCCCACTGGTTTTTTAGCAAGCTTACTGCTTCTAATGTACTTAAAAAACATTTTGCTATTACTTTTTAAGTGTTTGGCTAGCTGTTCCTCAAAATCTTTTTTGGCTTTTCTTATTACATTTTTAGAGTTAATTTGGCAATGTCTAAGTTCCTTTGTATATACCTCACTAGCATTGGACTTCCACTTTTTAAAAGATGCCTTTTTATCTCTCACTGCTTCTTTTACATGGTTGTTAATGGGAACCAGAAATATGAGCAGCCTAAAGCCACTATGACAACTCTACATTGTTCATGGAGTAGAGGTGAAAGAGAGCAGTTCCAGCAAGAGCTGGCTGAGGTGCGGCAACAGCCAGCAGAGAGCTATTTAAAGAGCTGGCAGGGACCCAGTTTACAATAGGACAGTACTTATAAATTACTTTTACTGCTGCCATGGAGCCCCCTTAAGCAGAGGTGATATTTCTCTGAGGAGGCGGCTTTGTCCCCTTTACACTAATAGAGGATTGAAGCAGGACTTCTGTGCACTGGTAAGTGAACAGAAAGCACCAAAATCATTTTGCACAAGGCCAAAACTACAATCCAAAGGGTGGCTTTGAATTGAGATGCAGGAGGTGAAAACGCCTATCTTTAAAAATTTGTGGCAATCAGGGGAAGTCCCAGATAATTGGAAAAAGGCAAATGTAGTCCTCATCTTTTAAAAAGAAAAGAAGGAGAATCTGCGGAGCTACAAACCAGCCAGCCTCACCTCAGTCCCTGGAAACAAATCATGGAGCAGATCCTCAAGGAATCTAGTTTGAAACACATGGTGGAGAAGACTGGATTCACCAAGGGCAAGTCAGGCCTCACCAAACTAATTGCCTTCTCTGATAACTACCTCTGTGGATGGGGGAAGGAGTGGACATGATATACCTTGACTTTAGTAAAGTTTTTGATATGATCTCCCACAGTATTCTTATCAGCAAGTTTAAGTAGTATGGTTTGGATGAATAGACAATAAAGTGGCTAGAAAGCTGGCTAGATTTTCAGGCTCAACAGGTAGAGTGATCAATGGCTCGATGTCTACTTGGCAGCTGGTATTAAATGGAGTGCCCCAGAAGACGATTCTTGGGCCGGTTTTGTTCAATATTTTCATTAATTACCAGGATGAAGGGATGGATTGCATCCTCAGCAAGTTTGTGGACAACACTAAGCTCGGGAGAGGTAGATATGCTGGAAGGTAGAGAGAGAGTCCAGAGTAACCTAGAGAAGCTGGATGATTGATCCAAAAGAAATCTGATGTGGATCAA